TATGTACTACTATGTAGGTTTTTTTTACCTTAGAATGATATCTTCAAAATTATTTTGTTACGCAAAGTCATAATAAGGGGAATTTAGTCTTTATTGTATAACAGTAACAGCTGATATTGCATTATGTAACTAGTGTGTCATGCGGGAACATGCTGTATGGCGTGTGTCACTCATCGACAACCAAAGCTGGAGTAAGCAGCAAGCTATTAGACAAAGTATTTTTGGTATGGACATCAAGCCAGCAAAGAAACCAATGAGTACGCTGTCTGAGGAATTGAAGAAGGGAAAAAAAAATCAGTGACCAAGTAAAAACAGAACTGGAGTAAACAAGATGCAGGGATTCAGGGCAGATGCTGACCTGTCAGTCTTCTGTCGTGTCATGTTTTCATCCTCAATGTCACAATAAATATAACTATACATCATATTTGCATAAAATTCTGTAACATAAATTTCTCTCGCAGTGGACAGGGGTTCTTTTTCATGTTTGGAAGGGGAGGGTGAGGTGAGGAGTGTTCAGCTGCAACATGTCATTTCAACACTAGATACCACAAAATTCTACACACTGTACCTTTAAGAAATTCTTTCAAAACTTGTAAAAACATTCACCTGAACTCAATGATGAACTTATTAGTTTTTTATGTCACGGTGTCATGGTGACTCACCAGGCACATTTTTTGCCTCATTAATGTGATATCTCCAGAACACCGCAAGGGAAAACATTCACTTTTGGCACAACATTCAGTTTGACTCAAGGATTAACTGATTTGATTTTTGGTTAAAGGTCACGGTCACAAATTATGTTTTCTTTATGTCTGATGATGGCTTGAGGGAATGTCTTAAAATGTGGTTCAGATATTCTCTTGGAGTCAAAAGGGATTAGATTCTGTTGCCTGGGGTTCAAAGGTCAAGGCCACAGTGACCTCACATTTCTGTGAATTCATATATCAGGACTGTCTGTAGGGAATTTTATTACATCTGGCATAATCCACTGGGACACATGGATGACGTGATTAAAATGAGGAGGTCAAAGGTCACTATGACTTCTCAAACGCAGGTTTCAGGAACAACTCTAGGGAAATCTTTCAACTTTGGCCGGATGTTCACTTGGAATCCCAGATTAACTGATTAACTGTTTTATTTGTCAAAGGTCAAGGTCACGGTGGTTTATGGTGATCTCAAAACCTCCTTGAGGATATTTCTTCAACTTTTGTTCAGTTTAAATTCAAATATTCAATGATTAGATTTCAGTGGCCAAAGGTAAAGGTTAGAGTGACCTTATATGAATCTGGAAAAAAAGGTGATGTAGCAATATGAAGACAGAAACTGTACTGGTTGGGGGAGGCATAAAACCACAGTGCATTAATTCTAGCTCTAAGATAGCTATGGGTTCAAAACCCCAAAATAGAAAAAAACCTCAGAGGAAATCATACCACCTCTATTCATTTCAGTTTTGTTAATATAGCTCCCAATCTTAAAATGTATTATCTAAAATAATTTTACGTGGTAAGGTCAAGACCTCATAAAATGTTAGAGAATCCCAACAGTTCCCACAACGAGCAGGCAACTGTGGAAAGAAAAAACTCCCCTTTAACTGTAAGGAAACCTCTAGAATCAGACTCAGTGAGGGTGGCCATCTGCCTCGACTGGTTGGGGTGAGCGGAGAAAATTTGGGGAAAGAGAAGAGGTGGGTGGAAAAGAGGAGAGAGAGACTAGGAAGGTTAAGTAATCATCATAACCTCACCTCTTTTATTCTCTCTGGTTTATTAAATAAATGTTATTTCCTTTGCTCTCCATCACTTGACAAAGGGGCCTCATTTGTAAAACAGGGCGTGGGATTCACACTAAAAGTATACGTTCGCACAAAAGGTGAAAGTGGCGTATGCAAAAAAAAAATCTGATTTATAAAACCGTGCGCACATACACCTGAACGCAATGTTCACTTTATAAATCACAGTGCACCTGGAAACGTTTGTTTGTGAATCTACCTCATATCCCGCTCTCTACACGCCCACATTCAACCATAAATGGTAAATGTAAAGCACCTCATGAATATTAAATTGCCCTGCTGATCAACTGGTTTCCACGGTGAATCACGGCATCAAGTGATGAGAAGAGGAAGCAAAGCTTCCTGACACTGACATCGAGTTGGTTGTTAGGGAGGTGGAGGTGAAGAGCCACTTAATGGGATAGCAGTGATGTGATTAATAAAGAAAATACACTGATACACTGCTGCTGTTAATACAGTGAGTGAGAGGACGATAGAGAGAACGGAGCCTGAAATAAAAAAAAGATCCAATTCAAAGGTGGAGGTAAAAAAATCATCGCTTCACACTGTGAACTTGTTATATCAACTGTTCATATTTTAATAATCCAAAGATGCAGGGTTATTAAATTCAGAGACAGCTGTGATGTCCTCAATATATAGAATTTAACCGAATTTTTATTAAATGCTTGTGTTTGTACTGGGATGGTTCAGTTCCGTCGGTCGACCTAATACTGGACTCAGTTCAGCACAAAGATCACAGATCTATAGAATCTATATCAGCTGATCAGTCATCGTCATGGGACAAAAAGTCTTTGTGATCGCTGAACCCTCGTTTCCTCTTCATCCTTCCATTTTTGTGCATCCATCACGCAGCATTATGCACCAGTGTCACTACAGTATTTATATATGTAGAGCCATCAGACTGATAACTTTAAACATCAGTGGATCCTAACCTCCACTCTGGGATATTATTTGGTCTCCAGTGTGCTCTGTGCACCTGAATGCAAAGTCATGTTCATGACATGATATTATTAAAAAACATGAATGACTCTGCAACTCTGCTGTTTATCTGAATGTAATTTGCTGTAAGTTGTTTTATGTCTTTTTCAATTGAAGGTTCTGAGCGAGCACAACTAAAGCTGTTGGTTTTAATGTTAATGATGAAGTGGATCAATAATCTGCTTCAGTTCACCACCTCACGTCTGCATCACCACTTTCCCGACTCCAAAATGTTCGTACGCAAGGGTCAGAGTTTGTTTTTATAAATCCCAATGTTTGCGTGAGAAGTGGCGTTTCAGTGTGTTTTTGTGTGTACGTCACGGTTATAAATGAGACCACTCAGCCATGTGCTCTCTCCACATTTATGCACTTCACAACACAAGCAGCCTTGGTGACCTTCAGCTGCCTATGGCATGTCCATCATTGAAGCATTGGGATTTGACTACTTCTTTTCTCTGCAGTTTTTAATGTGGTGTTATGATACTTAAGAAGTTCAGCTCTATAAAAAAATGTTGTCAATAGGTATTAACTTGTCCATATATGGTATGTTACATCCTAAACTGTCTTCCTTGTTAGATGCTTTGAATATGTGGTGCTAATAGACATGACAACCTTGGATATCACTGACAAAAGTAAACTAACTACAGTAGCGGCTACCTACTGGGTCAAACTGTGGGTCAAAATCACTGAAAGATCATTTTGATTTTGAATTTGTTTTGAATTTCACCATTTACGTAATTTAACCTTAAGTTGGTGTGTGACTGATTGTTACAGTTAAGATGTCTATTCCACTGCTCCATGATTAACATGGACATTAACATCTCCTTACTTCTGTAGCTCTTGTTCACGTACGATCTAGTGAAGTATGACATGGAGAAAGACGAGCCAGTGAAGGATCAGTATGGTTTCTGCCAGCGAGTGGGAAAGGGTAAGAAAGCAACTGCTAAACATTTCCACAAATTCAGTTTTTAATTAGATTATATTTTCAAAGTTGATCACCTTTGTACTGATTAAAAAAAATCGGACCCATTTTTTCTCTCAGGTGAGACTGGGCTTTTACTGTCCAAGGTGAGCGCCATCAGCCCCTTTTTTGGCTATGCTGGAAGCAAGCAGCTGACGGAGAAAAAGCTGATGAGAAATGTATTCGTGAAGGGAGATGCCTACTTTAACACTGGTGACCTCATGTCTGAAGACCAGGAGGGCTTCATTTGTTTCAAGGACAGAGTAGGAGACACCTTCAGGTACTGTTTGAGGTCTACTATTTCCCAGCACTCTCCTCTAAAGACACATTTTAAGCTGTAATCTCTGCTGTCTGAGATCTCCTGCATTGCCATGCTGTTATTACAAACATGTCTGTCTTTGCATGGACATTTTCTCTGCTGTTGTGCAGTGACATTAAACCTGCGATGGTATAAGATTTAGCGCAGGGGTCACCAACACGGTGCCCGCGGGCACTAGGTTGCCCCCAAGGACCACATGAGTAACCCACAGGCCTGTTAGAAAAATAACACAGCTCACCAGTGATCTGCGTCTAAAATTTGATATGCTTTTCTAATTGAATTGAATTATTTATTTCTTATACTGTCAAATTTTTATTCTCATATTGAAGTTGACTATTGACTATGATTTGTTAAAAGGGTTTGTCAGCGGCTAGTGAGAATGGGACATTTTTCCTAGGAAATGTTGTAGAAGTGATCATCTGAAAATTTAAACAATTGCTGTTGTTAAGTCATTGTTGATAATTATTACCCTATTAAATTGTCTTCAGACATCAAATTACTCTGCTTAGAATAATAATAACAATATATGTGTCTGATGTGGGGTTTTTTTTATGCGTCTCATTGCAAAATTCAGAATTGTTTAATTTAATTTCAAGTATGTAACTGCGACGCCTGCGACAGCCAACCAACTCAAGCTGCGCTGCTCCAATCATGTGACATACCTCACTTTCCACAGTCATCTATAACACTATATATATACTATTTAAGCAGAGAAAATCATTCCCTTTTGCATCAGTATTGCTGCCAGTTGCTTCAGCCCCTCTAACACCCCTCGACTCTAAAGGATTATACCTGGAAACAAAGCAAAGAAAAATACACATATGTGATGATGATCAAACACATAAAGAGTGAACACTTGGTGAAAATTGAAGACAAAGAATGGAATATTGTGAAACTGCAGTGTCTTGAATGTTTTGCGACAGTGACAAGACTTGCGCGATTAATTACTTTGACTGAAATCAGCATCTCTTCCTGATTTCAGGTGGAAGGGTGAAAATGTAGCAACGACAGAGTTAACAGAGGCTCTTGGGCTGGTGGATTTTATGCAGGAAGTCAATGTGTATGGAGTAGAAATACCAGGTACGTTTGAAATTTGTTTGTGTCAACATGTCTGCTATATACATAATGTTATACTCAAATGTTGCATATTTGAGGAAGGTATTCAGTAAGTGTAAACATGACAAGGTACATAAAGTTATGAAAGAAGAAGAAAGTCAAAGAGTAAGTCAAGACACTGCAGGCAAAAACATATGGCCTCATGAAAGAACCCTTTCATATTCTCACCGTAAATCATATCAATGTACTTTATCCAATTAAATTACATTAATGTGTACTAATCCTTAATGTCTGTAAGTGATGAGATTCATCTGTCTTTAATGTTTTGGGAGGATCAGTTTCAGTTTCAGTCTGTCACCTGTAGTGTCTTGCTTTGCACAGGGACATTGGTTATCTTTGGTATATTGATATATAATTGTTTACTTAAATTGCAATCATATTTGATTAATGCATGGGAGCTCAGAACAGAACCTTGTATCATTAAATGATTGGGTGATGATGATGTGATCATGATGACTCATTCCAATCAACTTTTCCTGGATTTTATTTTACAGCTCACTGGAATATGTTTCCTTGTAGGAAGGAAACAGCTGTATTGTTAATATTTGCTGTGAAGGTGTTTTATTTTGCAAAGATGAATGAAGTAAAGAAGGGAAACCATGCTGTTTCTCTTCTTGGTAATAAATAACACTGAGCTGACAGGTTACATTTAACCTTACATTAAATTGTTTCCACAGGGCATGAGGGCAGAGCAGGAATGGCGTCTGTGATTATAAGACCAGGTCTCATGTTTGATGGGAAGAAACTTTTTGAGCACGTGGTGAGGGATCTGCCAGCATACGCTCATCCAAGGTTCATTAGGATTCAGGTAATGAGCAGAGCATTGCTACATCTTGACTTTGTTCTGATGAGGCTCCTTTATTATGACTATTAATGTATTCTTTCAACCCCCCAAATGATGATTTGGGCTTAGTTACTCCTAGTTTTAGGACTTCTCAGTGTTTGATCATTCACAAAGCTTTTAGCATTAAATGTTCAACATACACAGAATATCGTTCTACTTAACCTAACATTGACTGAATGATAACTTATACTACAAAGCTGGTTATCAATACTCTCAGATAACCCTGTTTTTTTTCTTATCCAACTCTGACCATTTATGTGGAAGAGGCAGAGTCATTAAATATAAACAACATGGTCAGAAACTAAATAAAGTGAAAGGTAAATGATGATCGCATAACTAGAAAACGAAAACAGTAGAAATAAATATTGATCATTACATTATGGGGCTGAACATGAACTGTACAGTTCAACGAAATTTGAAGTATTGGATGAACAAACAATTCTGATCATGTGATCCAGGCTGTTTTTGCTACCAAAGCAGTGAGGAGAGAAGTAAAGACAATCCTGTTATTCTCATTAATCATCAATCAGTCCATTGATTATTTTCTCCGTTAAATATTTAGATTGTTCTATATTATTATTTGCACATATTACCCGATGTGACATTTTCACATGTTAATCCAAAACCTAAATATTTTTACGACATTTGTGTGGCACAAAAAATATTTTCAAACATTAACATTGTCGGTTGATTTACCAATTAACTAATTGTTTCAGCTTTATAGTTGTTGCTTTATAGTCGCAGTATAGAGCCAGTTTTACCAGCTTATTCTAATGGCATGCACATGCAAATGACGCAACAAATGAAATAGCTATTGTAAATATTATCCCTTTAGCTTGTAACTAATGATCCAAAAAATAAAAACAATACATTACAACCTCATTAAACTGTGAAACCTGCTGATTGTTGTCTTTGTTTCATTAGGAGATGATGGAAATGACAAGTACCTTCAAGCAGCAGAAGTTCCAGCTGGTGAAAAGTGGCTTCAACCCCTCAACTATCTGCGACCCCCTCTATGTGTTGGACTACCAGCAGAAGAACTACATTCCTCTAACAGACACTATCTATCACAGCATCCTCGCTGGAGAATACAAGCTATAGAACTCACAAGTATGGGTATGATGACACCTTTTCAAACAAAGAGGGAGATAAGTAAGCTCTGCCGATTCCAGATATTTAATGGAAGTCCATGAATACACAATACAAACAGATGATTTACTGTGATTTGAATGAAAATACATTACTAAGTAAGAGGATTATGATCAGTTGACCATATGCACATGTCTTCTGACTACTTAACACAAATATCACGTTATTTACCAGTATAAATTCTTCAAACAGACAAACGAGGCAATCTAACCATTCATACCTTTACACAGGCCTTACCTTTTAAATAAAAGTACATATGTTTGAGTTTATTAGAGACGTGAATGGATTATAAAACTGAAGGAGTCTGTTTTGTGTATGAAAGCCATTTGTGAATGTTCTTTGTAATTTAAACATTAAGACCCTATAAGGGATATGTTGAGACATGGCTTTCATGTTTACATTGTAATGCCCTTAAGATAAAAATACATTCACAATATGTTAAATTGTCCAATAATTGCTCCCTTTAAATCCAACGTAAAGGTCCAGTGCGTAAGATTTAGGTGAAAGGGAACTATTGTCAGAAATTTGAGGTAGAATAATCCTCATGATGTTTTCTCTAGTTCATTTCATCTAAATTATATGAATTGTAGTTTTCTTTACCCCAGAAAAGGCCCTTTATATTTAAATACTTTATATTTACATGGAGGGGACCCTCTCTATAGAGGCCACCATGTTTTTTACATTAGTCCAGACTGGACAAACTAAACACCTTTTGAGCTTTTATGACAACTGAAGCTACCACAGGTTCTTTTTCATGTTTGGTAGGAGAGGGTGAGTTGAGGGGTAATTAGCTGTAACATGCAATTTCAACACTAGATATCACAAAATTCTACACACTGTACCTTTAAGCACCTTGATTATAACTGAACCAATGGCTAAATTGGTTGAATTTTAAGGTACAAACATAAGGGATTAAGTGTTAAGTCAATAGTAGATTAAATAGCTCTCACAGACAACTTTGCTGGTGTGCCAGATTTTGTTATAAATGTTTTAACAAGATAGGTAAATGTATACACACATTTTCTTCTTACTTGAGCAAAATATATAATTCATCAAATCCCCACATTATGCTGACCACTGACAGAACACAATGCATGTGTTTTCAATGAATTAGATTTTTTTACGAAACTGAAATCATTTTATATTATCTGTGAGAGATTTTGATGGAAGCCCAACATTTTGCCATATATTTTTTTTCAAATTGTGTGTTGTATTTAATGCTTTATTTTTATTTTCTGTTTTTTGTTACCTGAGAATTGAAAGTGTGCTGCTAAATTGCTTAACTGACATACTTGGGAACTTTGCCAGGTCCAGTGACTGGTAACTGTTAGGTAAGGAATCAGTTAATATTAAATAAAATATTTTAATATAAGTTAATATAAATAATCTTGCTTTCATACCCACTTCAGAGTTTGAAGTAATTCTATTTATCTAAGGTGTCAACAGCTTATTTCAGTATAGCATGACAATTCCTCCATTGCAAAGAGTACTGAGCTCTTTTTTAAGAAGTCATATTTAGAAGGTTCTATTTACTTTTAGTTTTGATTAGGGTCATAAGATACATATAAGATGCCTTAAAAGAGTTTCGTTTATTAAAACATGGCTCTTTTTTCCAATTGTAGCACCAAACACCAAACTTTATACACCACCAGAGTTAAAGAAAGTAAATGTTAGTACCCAAACATCCACTACCGACTGCTGCTTCAACTTTGGCCCAGCCTTCTCACATGGAACAGATCAATATTTTAATGTAGAAAATATGAAAGCAATAGTGCATAACTCCCAGACTTCATTGGAAAACTTATTAGATTAGACTAAATATGTTAAGACTGTTGAATGCCACGGTCCTTCAAAAAAAGGAAAAGGGTCAGACATCTTTTGTTTTGTTGCACACACTTAACAAAGTATTCAGATCCCTTCTCTTCATAGTGCAGTTTAAAGTGATAGTTCACCCAAAAATGAAAATTCACTCATTATCTACTCAGAACTATGACGATGGATGGGTGAAGTGTTTGACTGCTTTTTTTTCTTCGGACGTAAAGGCCAACAGAAAAAACCCTATAAAATTCATCCATACTGCTCCTGTGATGTCATCCAAGTGTCCGCAAGCCCCGACATTCAAATTCGACTCGAAACAAGGTCATTTACATGTTTTCAGCCCAAATGTCCACTGTGATCCACGCACGAACGCGGTTCCGGAGGAGGATAACAGAAAATGTCAAAGGTTGTGTCCCCTACACACTTCTACCATATGTGTGATTACAAGTAGCTGAAGAAGTCGAATTGTGCGCTGACCAGTGCAGAGAAATGCACTTCTGGTGTGAACAGCCAGCACGAGAATTGACGCTTTGCAGCGCTTCCGTCTCCAGTGTGTCCCTGGCACTAGGGTGCTGCTTTCTTAGCCAGCAACTCCTTGTGAATAGGTCAGGCTTGGAAATGTTGTGACTCCAATGTTGAGTAAAGCAGTCCTTGCTGTGCTGGATTCCGTAATGGCACGAGTCAAGGTTGGGGAATACTTGTTATAGCAATCTGCTCCAGACAGGCCTGGATTTTGGTCAGAAGAGCTTGGGTAGAATGTCTACCTGGCTGGGAGAGGAAAGAGCAGAAGAGACACACCTCCCCTGCTGGGAAAGTGGGAGTAGAATGAGAATAGCTGGGGTTTTATTGGCATAGTGACATCTTGGGTCCTGAAGCATGCAGTGACCAATGGTAGCTGGAGGAGATGGGTCTAGGAGTGAAAAGGTTAAGGACCCTGGGAGACTGAGTTCAGTTGCCCCTCTCTGTCTTTGAGAATGTTTTGAACTGGAGCAAGAACTGGACCCAAACGCAAGAGTCAGACACCTGCTCAAAGTGAAATAACAGTTTTAATGAAAAGTTTACAAATGATTTCACAGAGAGGGATTTAGTCACAGAATGTCTCTGGTGTGGTCGACATGTATGGCGTGGCATGACGGTTGGAGAATTAGAGCACACTGACATTGCTTGGGTGAAGCCCGGTGGGCTCTGACTGAGCGATCAGCCTGTGTCTGGCAGAGAACAGGAAGGAGTTCTTCAAACGGAAACAGTGCACCCGTTTCTGACCCTACAGGCCGACGATGTCCAGGCAGGATTCAGTCAGGGAGGACAGGCAGGGAAACTAACACACAGGACGCTAACACTTAGTCAGACAGTATAATCTGGCAATGAGTAGAAGGAAGACCAGGGTTGTAATGCTGCAGCAGGTGAGAAGATCAGCTTAGCTACAGGTGTGCCAGGGACCTGAGGGAAGAAACGATGCCCACACCCAGACCCATCGAACACACACTCATGCCAAACCAATCAGTATTCATTCATACACATTCACACACATTAGAATAAGACATTATCTCAAGTATGATGTTAACATGGGTTGCTAAAAGAATATTCCATTCATATTCCTGTTTACATGTTACAGAGAAAAGTCTGAGTCTATGTTGCTGTGCAGTTGGTAACTACTGTACATGTTGATGTCCCAAAATGCTGTGAAAACTCCAATATAATATTATCAAGACGTATATGTGTGAATATAATGTGACTTTGGTTGGAATATTTCAAATGTTCTTTTATTGCTTATTCTGAGTATGATCTCATTCGAGTTAAGTTGACCAGAAAATTCTGTTTACATGTCTGTCCAATCAGATTAATGTCAGGATATTGCTGTCCATGTGAACATAAAAAAGGACAAACTGAAATATAATATTGACATAAGTATCAGACTCTTAACCATGGGAAATTGATTTAGGTGGAATTGAAAACACCAGAGCTAAATTTCAAATCTCTGATTAACAGAGGGACGTTTGAGTGTTTATGAATCAGAGTTCACATCCACCTCCAGCATTAGACATCTGGCTCAGGTTCTTTAGTCCTAAATGAAGACTTTCATTTCCATCCATTGTTCACTGTTTTTTACATGACCAAGCTGAGCCAGAAGTAGAATGCTTGAATCATTCTGACTTGCACTTTTACTGAGTGAATATGGATGTTTATGTTCAAAGCTTTACTCAGGTTTATCGTCTTATCTCATACACGACTTTGCTTTGAATGTGGGTCACAATAATTAACTCACAATACTATAAGGCACTGATAGGAAATAATTAGATACCACCTTGTTGAGATGAACTTGCAGCTAGCTCAGAGAGAGCATAAGGAAGGTTGCTCTCTTTGTTTGAGAAGAACATCTCTAGAGAAGTCTATTTTAATTTAACAACTCAAATTCATTTTTCCCTCTTTAGGGACACGTTTTGTGTTTAATCTCTTCAGCTGTTGTACTCATCTGAATCAAATATGCTTTGCATTTAATTGATTTTGCATGTATTCACTAATAGGATCATTAAGAATTTCAGAATGGGCTATTTTTGTCAAATCATTTCAAAGATTAAAACAATCCTGAACTCAATACAGACCAGTTTCTTTTTTCTCTTAGTTGGTGTTCCGCCTGATAATTTTTGCACTTAGAAACAATGGGTTTTATGTTTATTGTATTTGTTTTTTAGTTTTCATGCACACTGCTGCTGTCACTTTTCTCTGCCATGGTCGCCATCTACTGTTATTCTCTGAAAGTGTTGGCAGTTTTAGCCTGAATAAAAGGGGTAAGCTCCAGTGTCATGATGTGTATATATATTGATTGTTCAATACATCAGCTAATTTCATTTTGAATGTGTTTTCAAAAATCTTTTTTAGATAGGATTTTAAATTTTGTACATAGTGACAGTATCGATAAAGACACTGTTGCTGAATGTAAAGTGACATCACACTCACAGAATCTAACACTTGACACTTGGCGCACAAAATGCTTCATCACATTAACATTTTACAAGATGTAGCTTGAATGAAATAAGTGAAACATCTGTTCGCCAATAACAAGCAAATGAATAACAATACATACATAAATTATTAATAAATGAATGAACAACATGACCTATAAGACACATCACAAAAAGCATCCTTCCACCTTTTTATTAAAATAATTAATCTCAATCAATCAATCCAATTTGATTTGTATTGCCCATATTCATTAAATTGAATTAAACAATTTTTGTAATTACAAGCTGTGACATCCTCTGCCTTCAAGATTTAAGGTCTTGACCTTCTATGTAAAGTGCCTTGAGATAATGTATATTATGATTTGGTGCTATACAAATAAAATTGAATTGAATTGAATTGAACCCTCAACAAGAGTAAGGAAAAAATTCCCCCCAAAAATGAATGATAACAAGGGAAAAGAAGGTAGAAACCTCAGAGAGAGCCACATGTGAGGGATCCCTCTCCCAGGATGGACAGAAGTGCAATATGTCGTGTGTAACTGAACACATCAACAACAAATTCAAGATTTTAATTTTATACAAACATTCACTTTGACTCAAAGATGAACAGATTACATTTTGGTAGG